TCCTCCCAGAATTGCCTCTTTGCGCTCTCACTAAGACCTACCTGAGGGGCATAGGCACTGATCACATTCATGGTCAAATCTCCAACGACCAATCGGACTAGGATAATTCGGTCGCCTTGCCTTCTAACATCGACAACTCCATCCTTAAGGCTCCTATCGATCAAGATGCCTACACCATTCCTACTCGATGAAGCCCCAGTGAACCAAAGCTTGAAGCCAGTATCCTCCACCTCCTTCGCCTTCTGTCCCTTCCATTTTGTCTCCTGGACGCATAGGATATTAACATGCCTCCTAGTAGCTGCATCGACTAGTTCACGTAGTTTACCCGTTAGGGACCCTACGTTCCAGCTACCTATACGGACTCTAGTTGGTTTGACTAGCTTCTTTGCCCTTCGCACCCGTCGAGAGAGATGCGAAGACCCTTGCTCATTTTCCACTACACCCGGGCGCCGATGTAGCGCGCCACTAAGGAAATGTGCTCAGCTCAAAAAGAGAGGCATACCTCTGGCTTCAAACCAAGTAAACTACAGCCTGATTTATAGGCTCCCAGAGGAAAATGATGTGAAATCCGCATGTGATGAATTGGGAATCAGTTTAATTGCATATTCGCCACTCGCTCAAGGTGAACCAAACTCATAACAAATTTTATTAATTAACTTTGGATTTGTGGTCCCTTTACGTATGCTATCTATCTTGATAATAAATGACTGAAGAAGATCTAGAACATACAAAGATATGAGTAAATTTGCAGCATTTTGCTAATTACAGATCAATCCAGTCACATTTCATATTTGCTTATGTTGGATCAGCATGAAACCAACCCCATTAGGTGTGAGTAACATTTTTTGTGGCGTATTCGTAATTCTGAAAAGAGAACTGATTGGAATACTGAGATAGGAGTCGGGTTCCCTTTGCCTCTTCAGAAAAAACCTCAGAGGTAAGCTTTCTTGCAAAACAGCTAAAACCAACAGTCTTTGTCTGAAGAATAAGAAGATGATGCTGGAGATATAAAATGATTGTTATTTTTGCCTAAAACAAAATAAACAAAATAGTAATTTTTTTTTAACGAAAAAATGCAACTTTTGTAACTTATATTCTTCAACTATTTCAAGCTTTTACAACTTCATCCTTGGCTATTTTAGTCTTTTAGAGGCTCGTTAATTTTACAAAGAGCTTATCTTGAGTCATGCTGGCTGTTAAAAAACAAACTGCAGAGTAGAGAATGACCTTGGGGAGCTCATATGGAAAAATGGTGGAGTAGTCCTAAACAGCCAAACCAATAAAAAGCAACCGAAACAAATCGTAAAGCACGGCCAATCAAATCCAATCAACTCGATTCAAGATTACGACGCACTCTCATGGGTCGACGTGACCCTTGATAAAGATCTCTTTTCAAGCCTCTTACCCGAAATCCCTTCCTCTAATTCCGCCGATCCAAACAGGCCCTTGGCAAAATTTGATTTATCATAATGTTTCGACTCCGGTCATGTCTACTCCAACTTTCGACCAAAACTTGGAAAGTGCCAATATTAATAAAGTAAAGTTTCCGGCTGAGAAACACTCGACAGGTTGGGTTGACCGGGCCCCGGTCAACGAGTGCTCGGTTAAGACGGTTAACTCGAGCCATTGTGCAAGCAATCAGGTCACGAATGATGTGGATATGAGTTGGGCCTCCTCCAGCCGTGGGCTAGGCGGCAAAACGCACTTTGCTGGGCCTGAAGGGAAATATGGTGAAAATGTGGGCCCTCAATGTGAAACAGATAAAGAGAAACTTACGTCTTGTTCCGGAGGGTGTGGATGTAATTTCCGGAACAAATCTAACGAGACCAATTGCCTCAAAAGGAAGAGACAGGACGTGGAGGAATCTGAGTGCAGAAGTGATGTATATATTCTGAACTCTTTTAACTTTTTGCTTCTAAATATGTATCTTAAAGAGTTACTGCAAAATTTTATCTTCCATGATGGGAAAATTAAGAATATCACCTTAATGTTACACAGTTACACCTAATGGGAGTGTTTTGTAGTGCTTTAAGATGGCACCTCATGATTTCATTCGATGAATGGGGCTGTTTGTAATTATGCCAAACTGCAGGGGTAGTTTTTACATTTTTTTTTTTCAATTTCATTCATTAAACTGTGCAGGCAACTGAGTTAGAGTCAGCTGCAGGAGATAAGTCGGCCCAGAAAGCATACTCGGAGGAGCAGTGTGGCTGAAGTGCATAACCTGTCCGAGAGGGTACAAACGGAATTTCACATAACAAAATCTTACGTTTACCTTTTTCTTTATATTCTTTTTAGTCCCTTTTGAATTAGATATTCTGGTTATGTTATGTAGAGAAGGAGAGACAGGATCAACGAGAGGATGAGGGCATTGCAGGAGCTTATACCTCACTCGAACAAGGTAAGCTCTCAGTGTAGACCAATATTTCCATTATATGTTATGTTAATTACAAAACAACCCCAGAAAAATCACGCTTAATAATAAAGAAGGCCTCTTATCTTCTAAGATAACTCCAAGTAACCCCTTGGCTTGTTTGCACTTACCTTATAGCTCCTCTCACTTTTACAAGACAAACGTAAATATCTTATCTGTAACTTTGGAATGCGTCTGGGGCCTTTCTGCAATTAGGATGAACATGAGGGGCTGTTTATATAATTATACCAAGTTTGCTGCTAGTAAGCGTTCTCCCGTGGACCTGTGGTTTTAACCGCTTTCTCCTCACTATCTTTTAGCTCGTTGTTCTAGCTCATCGATTTTTAGACCATTTTACTTATCCTAACTCTTAACCTTTTTCTCGCACAGTCAGATAAAGCGTCCATGTTGGATGAAGCAATCGAGTACATGAAATCTTTACAATGGCAGCTTCAGGTATGGTTNTTCATCTTTACACATGTATACTTAATACCCCAATGCATGGAAAACAGTTCATAAACTTAAAGCTTTACTTCTATTTGTTTTTGTTCTTTTTTCGTGTTTTGTTATCAAGTTGTTGTGGATGGGAAGTGGCATGGCGCAAATGATGCTACCAGGCATGCAGCATTATATGTCCCGTTTTGGAATGGGTGTGGGCCCGCCTGTTCATCCGACGGCTATTTCGAATCTCGTCAATCTATCGAGGATGCCACTTGTCGATCAGGCCATGAATGTAACTTCTGGCACGAATCAGGCAGCGGTCAGTTATCAGAACCAGATGCCAAATTCAAGTTTTGTCGAGCCGTACGGTAATTATATGGGATTTTGCTCGTTGGCAAATGCTCCACAGGTGCATAACTGCGTGTAACTCGGTCTTTCGGGTGAAAAAAAACAAAAAAAAAAAAAAGTTTTTGTTTCGTGCTTCTTTAGTTTATAAAACCAAAAAAATTGTGGAGTTATATACATGCTTCAGTTCTTATTTGCAAGATAAAAGCAACGTCTGGTTCTAAATAGCTGATATTGGTTGACCATGAAAGTGCCAGTCTCGATATCGTTGTGCTTTCGTTGCTGCAAACAAATTTTTTCGTGTCGTTTTTTTAAAGATCATTTTTTTGCTTTCATATGTGGTTTTACTGTCTTTGTTACTGCTTTGCAGCCAACAAATGTGTTCGATTTTGGTTTCCATTCAACACAAGAGAATCAGCTACCAACACCTCCAAACAACGGCAATGCCTCAATTGAATGACCGCAGATCGTGCTCCAAATCATCTCCAAATCGGCCAGTCGAGTAAATTCCTCATTGTCTACTCATAGAAAAAAAAAAAAAAANACTTTGGCAGTTTTTTAGTATTACATAACTGCCCCAAGTTTAGCCTAAATACAAGAGGCATCCCTGTAGATTTGTTTATGTATACAATTTTAACTCGAGAGTGAGTATTCATAATTTCCCACAAATACTGTAATAATTATTTCAGCATAGTTGCTCAATCTGTAAGTATGATTTCATTGCATCCTCAATTGTATCCAAATCTCATTTTTTAAGTTTCTTTAGATTCAAACAACAAATGAAAATATAAGCAAAAGATGCAAGAAACCAGAAATAAGCCATGAGCTAACATGCACACAACACAAACAGGAGAGCATACATCATACTATCATAGTTCAACAAGCATTCATAAAGTTCCATTACCAAACCAAAGTCCACAAATACTAAAATCAACTTAAAAGAGCGTTCTTATTCTCAAAAGTCTCGACAAACACGCACGCGCATTAAAACAAAAGTTCATCACACCAATAATCGATCCTCTGATCATTCAATCAGGGAAATAACTTTAATCCCACAATTTCACAGAGCAATCGGCAAACCAAATACTCGCCCATTATAAGATTAAGTTACATACGGGAGATTAAGAGCGGGACAGAGACTGGGACCTCCTCGCCCATAACTGGCTGGAAAAGGTCCAACTCCCCATAACGTTCCAATACACGCATTCTGCAGTCCTCAGCAGCCATGAGGCCCGTGGAGTATGCTCCGTGGACCGAGCCCGGGTAATCAAAACTCGTGGCCTCGCCTGCGAAAAATAAGTTATCGACAGGTATCCTCAGCCTTTCATACAGATCGTGAGATTTTCCAACCATGTCGTAGCTGTAGGAACCCAACGAGTTCTTGTCTGTTCCCCAGTGAGAGACTAAATGCTGAATCTGCATAGTTTTAGGGTTTAAATTAGAGCAATAATGCGCAAAACAAATAAAATGCACCAATACAGAAAGAGAGGATTCGAAATAATTTTACTGGCTCGGAAGCATTTGGCAAGATCCTCTTAAGTTGCGTAAAAGCGAAATTCGCAGCAGCTTCATCCGACATTTTTTCAATGTCGCGAGCCAATTTTCCAGCTGGCATATAAACGAGGACCGGGTGACCAGTTGCCTTGTGCAGATTAAGGAAATAACTGCAGCTGTAAGAAGTCTCAGCAACTACCCCCAAGAACTCGACGTTGGGCCAAAACACATTACCAAAGTGCAAGATAATCTTATTCTCGATCCCAACACCAATCCCCTCGATGGCCTCTTCTTTCCAGTCGGGTAACCTCGGCTCGAATTTGACTTGGTTTGATTTCAAGACACCGAGAGGAATCGCAATAACAGCAGCATCTGCAATAAACGTGCCCCCGTTTTCTACAGTTACTTTTACTCCATTATGGTGTCGATCTATTTTTGTCACACTAAAGCAAACATAC